TAAACAGTATGGACAAGTACGTTTTTAGTTCGCTTCATCTCATAAATATGTCTCTTTTTATCGAACAAAAACAGAAATTTTCAGGGAAAAAATATAAATCTGTGGCTGCTTTAGTTGTATTTTTTATTTAGGATGGTGTCAAATTCCTCGGCTATCTGCAAATAAAATTTGCAGCTCTTCACAAAGTCAAAACACAGCTATTCCTGACTGCTTCAATAGTTATAAACATTGTAAAATTTACCTTGTAATTTCGACTTTTGCTAACAAAAACATATTGAGAAAGTTCTTTAACCAAAGAAGGTGCTCCTTTTCTTTAGTTTAGGTTTATTTTTCTTCGTTTTGAATAGTTTTGAAAGACTTCTAGACACTTTTTCCCTTTTGAAACTCGGCTCTCGTCGCAGGGCAATAAAAATTGCGTATTGCCCGTGGGCAATACGGGAAAATCCTGCCTCGGCAGCAGCCAATCAAATTGCGCGATTCATCAAAACAAATGCTTGCCATATAATAAAACTACTTATTTACCAGGGATAACGTTGTCCGCCTCGATTTCAACCTATGTTTTCGTGTGCACTCGAGCAAATTTGGAAAACGACGTGAATACACGCTAACAGAAAGTACTTCATGGAGATGTCAGCTTCGGGCCCTTTATCTTGTTATTGCCAACTTAATTAGATAAGATACCTTGACAATCGCTAGGACTGTGTGATGTCAGTGATATATATATATATATATATATATATATATATACATATATATATATATATATATATATATATATATATATATATATATATATATATATATATATATATATAGATATATATATATATATATATATATATATATATAGATATATACAGCTAATTCAATAAAGGTTGTCCTTTGAAAACCTTAAACTCTAAAACCTTAAACCTTAAACTCTAAGCGCGCAAAGCATTATGGGAGTACGATTTAAGCAGCTTAGAAAGCATATATGAAGCCCATTTCTTAGAGACATGGTAAATATGTGCCTGAGAAAACATTTCACTCACAAACAGCTGCAATATTCAACTACTAAGCTTGAAATCAGTGCTCCCATTATGCTTTGCGCGCTTAGAGTTTAAGGTTTAAGGTTTAGAGTTTAAGGTTTGCAAAGGACAACCTTTTTTGAATTAGCTGTATATATATATATATATATATATATATATATATATATATATATATATATATATATATATATATATATATATATATATATATATATATATATACATGCCCGATAAATGTCCGATAAATGCCACTTCTTCGTCTTCCCATGTGTTTAGACTACAGTATCCAAGAGTACTTCGTTGTAGAATAGTCCCAATCGAAAAAATGAAAACATTTGTTGGGTTTTGATGGAAAAACCCTCCAGGTGATCATTTAGGTTCAAAATAAAATACAAAGCATTTGAAAGTCACGCGCAATCTTCGCGAAAACTTCTCGTGGACACATGACAGGGGGGGGGGGAATATTTTCACGAAACGTTTGCTCGCCGCCACAGAAACCTAAAATATATTGTATTTATTTTATTTTTATGTATTATATGATAAACCTACCCAACTATTTATTCTTTTTATCATAATTCATAAAAATACAATATATTTTAGGTTTCTGTGGTTGCGAACGAACGTTTCGTGAAAATATTTACCCCCTGTCATGTGTCCACGAGAGGTTTTCGCGAAGATTGCGTGTGACTTTCAAATGTATTTTATTTTGAACCTAAATGATTACCTGAAGGGTTTTGCCATCAAAACCCAACAAATGTTTTCATTTTTTCGATTGGGACTATTCTACAACGAAGTACTCTTGGATACTGTATAGTCTAAACACATAGGAAGACGAAGAAGTGGCATTTATCGGGCATAGAAGCGGCGAGCCATTAAAATGGCGGCAATTTGGCGAAATATCGAAGGACACAATTTCGAAGATAAAATATGCTGCACTGTTTCAAAACTTCATTAAACTTCGTCGAAATCGTCTTTAGCCATCTATCATTATGTAAAAGTGCAACAACTGGATGATATCAGCGAGACTCGGCGATAAAAAGCAAACAAGACGGGAAAGTATGGCTGAAATGGTGTTTTGGTGGGGGGTTAGTGAATTAAAATGTATTATATTTAAAGAAAACAATGACAATCCTTATGAAAACTACAATAATTATATTAAATTAAGCATAGTTTTCATCCCATGATAATTTTCTTTAGGAAATAAGAACATTAAATTTCTGCCAGGCATATTAGTTATTTTGTGCATAATCAGCAATTTACCTGGGGTGGTGCATGGTCATTTTCTTGTAAAATATTATACTCAGACAAATTTTTCCTTCCAATGACCACCCCTAAAAGCAACCCTTCTAAACACTATAAGCACTTCAGAAAGGCTGTCGCTTTTGCTTTTCGGAAGTTGAGCTATGTCGGCACTGCCGTTTCAGGGCAGGGTCATTTTCAGGACTTTCGCCCCGGATTCAGGTTTTGGCACATATGCCATGTTGACCGCCATGGTCATTTTACCCTAAAACAGTTGAGATTACCTGTGCTAAATGAAACACATACAAACATCTATACAGGTCCTAGACTATTATAACGACTGCATTGACGACAGCGAAATAACAGACATTTCTTTCAAGTTGTAATTTTGCAAGATTTTGTAAATTTTAAAACCTTTCTGAGAGCCAAAAAAACGTCTAAAAGAATAGAGCAAAGTCGCCGATGTTAATTAATGTAATTAGTTTGTTTTAAATATTGATGTATTGTTTGTTTTATAATTGATATATATATATATATATATATATATATATATATATATATATATATATATATATATATATTTATAACTGATAATGGTGGGCGATACTGTGAATATCGAACTGATACTATCATAATTGCATATATTAGTGAAAAAAGACAGCATATAATTTCAGTTTAGTTTTACTAATTACCCTTTCTTTTGTATATTAAAGTGTTTAAATAAAGAGGAGGAAAGCAAAGTTATTTTTATGCGAGAATTTGAAATCAGTTTATTTCAAACTCAATGTTTACCGATAATTCGATAAAAGGCCGTTTAGTTTTAAGAACATTTTAAAACGTTTTGCGAAGCGGTTGTGGTTGAATTTTACATTAAATTGAAGCTTATATTACGTATAATAACATACCTAGCATATATATGTTTGGGAAATTGATAATTTTGTTATAAAAAGTGATATTTTGGGGGATTTTTCAATTTTAAAACTATTCTTAAAATTATCGTGTTACCATAACAACTACTTTCAATTCTTCATGTTCAGAAAACATAATGTTTGTCAGTAAGGCGTGGGTTTATGCATGCATGCGTTTTCTAGTCTATTTATAGAATTAATAATTATTACATCTATTGCACACGCCCGCATTACGTACCTGTTGAGGATTTTATAGTACTTCATTTCATATAGATAACTTTTTTGCTCTCTCTGTGGATCCATTCATATCGACATTCTTGCAAAGAATTTATGCAAAGCCGTTTTAAAGTAAGTTAATTATTATAATTATTTTACACTTGTTACTGACAGTAGTTGCATGAGCCCCCGCGTTAATGTGCAACGCTTGATATTATAAGCGTCAAGCGAGCGCGGTATTAAGTGTGTCGTAGCAGTAATGATGTGTTGATTTTTTAAGGTGCAAAAACGACCAACAACATGCAAGCACTTGTTAATTGCTTAATGGCAAGACACCTCACCAAAAAACAAGTACGCTTTTCCGGTGTTGAACGCCGTTTCGGTGTAGAACACACTTGTTGTGTCATCACTGAGTTGTTAGTTTCTATTACTTCATGGCCACATTGAGCTTCACGAGACACGATTTTAGCAGCGCATCGAGAAGCCATAATTAATACTCACGTTCTGCCCACCAAAAGGTTAATATATAATGCGCCCAATAATATCGCAGAAACTAAATATACTAGAGCGTATCTTCGTTCCAAGAGCTTGGAAATCTTTCTTTTTAAATATTTTTAATTTTTTGAGATTACTATTGTCCCCGAGCCGGCGGCGCGAAGCGCCGTGCGAAGGTACTAATTCCCCCCGGCTATTTACACCCGGGGAAACGAAAGCATTAGGGATGTCTGAAGTTCATCAAATATCGCGGGCGTGGGTCACTGTGCGTGTTTCGGTCACTGAGCTATACTTAATATATCTGGAGATCGTGCTCCAATACCTCGTCAGTCAAAAATGTGTGGCCAAAAACATGGCGGATTTTGGCCAAATTTACGTCATTTTGACGTCACAATCGACCTAAATTTATGGTGAACACCACTGACCTAAAATACAAACGTGAAGAAAAAAGTTATTCACACCCCCCTTTCAATTTGCTTAAAAAAGAAGGAAGTAAATTCAAAATTTTGGTCGGAAATTTCTATATTGAAACGAGACATTTGCAACCATGCCAACTTTTTGTTCAATTCCTGGTTGCCAAAAATCTACTGAAAGAAAGGACCTGTCCTCACATGCGTAAGGCTCGTATGATCTCTTTTTTTTTAATAATTTAACGCAATGCTGTATTGCTGTATTGAATGCGTTAATTTGTGAATTCATGAAATTTATTGGCAAGCAACATACAATACAATGTTAGTGTACTACAGTGCAAAAGCAGAACAAAATTTTAAAATGTTGACAAGCTTGTGGAGCTGTTGTTGAGCAAGTATTTATTTCCATCCAAGTTGATGGATGTGATGCAGTGATGAAATCTTATCGATATCCTAACAGATAATGCTTAATGTTAAAAAAATTCAAATGAGAATTTTAACAATGTGATAAAGATACGACTAGCTTTAAATGTACAAAGCCTTTTACTCATTGTATTGTCTTTATTGTGGACTAAACCATGTGTTGTCTAGTGTGGCATTGTTTATAATAATTGTAAGTTATAGGTATCGTATTGAACAGTGTATTAACTAGACACTAAAAACAATTGTTCATTTACTTCAAAGCTTTCCAGATGAGAAGAGATTCCCTGAATTGCACAGCATATGGGTGAAGAATATAAGCAAACTTATGCCAGACAGAGTGAAGTTTGTTCTTATGAAAAATAGTCGTTTGTGTTCAAAGCATTTTAGTGCCGATATCTTTGAGGAGGATTACAGCCAGAGACCAGTGTTAAAGCCATATGCTGTACCAACAATCTTTAATGATTGCTTTGGTCAGCTTGGTTGTGATCTTTACAGTTTATTATCAGTACAATTAATGGCCATACTGTACATGAGGGGTAATTAACCCATTAAGCGCCAGTGCTCTCCCCTTGACGAGTAAAATTGTCTGGCGTTAGACAGAGTAAAATACTAAAATAGGGTGCTTCGCCACTCAATGGGTTAAATTTATTCCTTAATTTTTCTGCTAACAACTTTAAGTTATTTGTACACATTTTGGTCTGTTTAGTTAAGCCACGATTGCTACATTTACATTTATTTTGACCATTTGGGTTAGTGTACAAATTAGGCTAGCATAATTACTGTAGGTGCTGACCATCAAGTAGGGATTGACATGCATAGAATTGGTTGAGCAGTTTATTTAATTAAATTGGTGTTGTATGTGTTTAAAAATAAAGAATACATTTTGTTGTGATTTGAAATTGAATATATTATTCATTCTTATTACTAAATGTAATTATATAATTATCTTGGAAAATCTTTTTTTGAATAAAATATTTTTTTTAATAATTCTTCACTGTCGTTCCAATTGAAGTGTTCCTCAAATATTGATTCAATACATTACCTTGGGCTAACCAATTTATTTGATTAAGTTCCTCAAGATATTCATACACTTCCTAGTATAATTGTAAACTTCCTGTTAAATGGTTTGAATGCACCAATCACCTTTGTTGTTTGTGCAACTAACCAATCATAAATAGAAAGGAAGTGACCAGAAATTATTAAATACATGGAATTGGCTCTTTCACAGGAAGTGTATGAATATCTGGAGGAACGTGATGAAATGAGATGCTTGTGTGATGTTACTCTGAGTGTATATCCACACCGGGCAGGCTTGAAAATATGCCTGGCCACAGTGGGATTTGAACCTACGACCTTTGGAATACTAGCCCAAATGCCAATGCTCTGTCAACTGAGCTATGCGGTCAGGTCGGTTTGAATTCCAATGTGGCTTGGCATATTTTTCAAGCTTGCCCGGTGTGGATATGCACTCAGAATAACATCACATAAGCATCATATTCACAAATATCATGGTTATTAGATTACACTGATATCGAAGGAACTAGACTCAGTTCCGAAATATCGCATACTGAAACTGCCCCGACTGTATAGCTCAGTTGGCAGAGCATTGGGCCAGTATTCCAAAGGTTGTAGGTTCAAATCCCACTGTGGCCAGGCATATTTTTCAAGCCTGCCCAGTGTGGATATCCACTCAGAGTACGTAACATCACACAAGCATCTTATTCACCTGAGTACATGTATTACACCAAAACAGCAAATATCTTGATGGAATGAATTGGTCAACCCGAGGTAATGTATTGAATCAATATTTGAGGAACATTTAAAAATAAGGTATGAATCGCATAAAATGCAGATATCAAAATCAAACATTGTAACTCGAGCATAAAAATGTGCATATTTGTTTTAAAAGGCGATTGTTCCTTGAATGTTCAATGAAATA